CTATAGCGAATAATACCGAATATCGGTAGTTGGGGACACTGAGTGTCGTAAACAGTGAAGCTCTCCCATCTACTGTTTATCAATGTTGATCCGATTTACCCAGCGTTCTGCTACGGTTTTCAGCGATGAATTTCCTTCTCGTACTCCCATCTTCATTAATCCACCCTATAGGTAGGTTGTGTGTAACACCTCTTCGTCACCGATCGTATAACATATTTCGTTCACGATGTGGCGCCGTCGCGACGTCCGGTTATCTTTTAAGGTTCGAGTATATGCTGCAGCAGTTCGGCCAGTTCTGCTATACGGCGCAGAAACTTGGCCATTAAGGACGCAGGGTAAAGATAGACTGTCGGTGTTTGACCACTCCTGTCTACGCAGCATTGCACGAGTCCGGTGGGATAGCCGGATGAGCAATGCTGAGGTTAGGCGCAGAGTTTTAGGTATCCGCGGTCGCCCACTCGAGCAAGTGGTCGACCTCCATAGATTACGTTGGTTGGGACATCTGTTACGCATGTCACCAAATAGGTTTCCACGGCGAGCGATATTCGCCGAGACAGGTGGTGGGTGGGAAAAAGCCAAGGATGGTCAAACGAAAACCTGGCATGAGGGAATGAAATCCCTTATCAATGGACTGGGTCACATAGGTTCTGTTAGGCTCCCTGGCTGGGGATCTCGGGATGATCGTAACCGATGGTTAGAGACACTGAGTGATGTGACTGAGTGTCGTAAACAGTGGCGTTCGTGCATCTCAATTTCTTTGCAACCCTAGACCACTGAAATTCTCGACTTTCTGTTCGACCCTGCTTTCAACCTGTATTCTCCTATTCCTCATCCAAATGGGCAACCAAAACCGCCGCACGATCGTGCGTGGTTATTGGTTGTAAAAACTAAACTGAACTTCACGATGCTCTTCGGTGATGATGCACGACTGCCTACCTGGATTCATATTTGATGGTCGGACGAAAAGACCGTTGGATAAAAACATGTGATACATCACGCCAGACTCAGAGGGGAAACAGCAGGATTTAGCTGAACATGCGTGTGTATTAGAATGAAGGAAATTGTCGGAAGCGAAAACCATATTCAGGTTACCACACGGATTAGATGACTGAAATCAGTAACACTGAAATTTGGCGATGCGTCCGACCGTAACTATGCTAATTTCTAAGCTTAAGTTATACCGTCATCTACAAGCTGTCTTCTCAATCGGGTGCCGCTTAACTGTCCATATAGTGGGTGAATGAAGAGTATCTTCGAGCTCTGTTCTAACCTGATTTAATGTTTAATCCAATAATGAATTGTCGTACTCATTTTCCTGCGCACTCCTATGAACAAGACGATGGTGGCTTGGAACCATCAGTGTCGTGCACTTATTTGTCCACTTCTCTTATTCCGAATAAGTCTTGAAGTGCCATTTCTTACCTTATGATTTTGGACATCTTCTAGTTCCAAGATTGGATCGTCTCTGTGAGTAGGTTGTTTTGTTTCGAAGCTTTCTTTCAATCCTACGTACTGTCTGGTGTAATTGAGTTTTTGTAAAAAAAACTGATTCCTGTTGTCGATATGTCCAACATGCGTTTCTTTCACATACGGAAATGAAACTTATTATCTGGTCCTTTTATTTTATCCCTATTGCTCTACGTATTTGTTCAGAGCTCAGCTGGCCTGATTTCAATGGTTTGAATGATTAGACATCCTAAGTCAAGTAGTTTGAAGCAGTGCACTTATATGCTCGGACAATTCATTCCAGTTCAGTTCATACAACCATTAACCTTGCACTTTCGACCGGCAGTTTTGTCAAAAACATCACTAACCGATTGAATACTGGCGTATTGACCCTGTGCACTTTCATCTTTCTCGTTCCAAGGTTTTGTTCTTAACGGGTTCTATATCCAGCTTGTATCCTCATGGCCCTGTTAAAAAGTGTTCTTTTTTCATCCAGGCCAATCAGTTGATCATGAATTTGACCAAAAAATAGACATCCGCTACCTGCCGTTTGACTGTTCGCGGTATAATTATCAAACAGGATAGTTGTTTGTTTTTCATTATCTGGTATGATCAAATTTTTTGCATTTCAGCATACTGTTCTGCTACGAAAATCAGTTTAACTATCTGCAGTTTGATGATGATTTTTCAATCTCAGACACCACTGACTAGTTATAGGCTGCTTTTCTGTCGTCTTAGCCAACACATGTAGCTTTTAATTTGAGGTCTTGAAAATTGATTTGGTGGTTATCGTCACCACACAGTGGATATTGTTTTACCGTGCGGTATGGCCCTTTAATTGGGTATTTTGCTGTAATGTATGGTATATGATGAAATAAAAATATTTTTAACTCAGTTGATCAGGGCATACTTTTTAGTTTTCGAAAACGTGTTTGACTTTCTCATTAGATGTACTGAAATTTCAAATTTTACACTATATTTTCGGTGTACCTCATTTTTACTGTTATTCTCGTGCTGTTCCCATTTTCATCTCCGTACCACGAGACGGCGCCCAAGTCTACTATACTTAATTATTATGGATATATATATATATATATATATATAAAGATATGTATATACATATAATCACCGGCTTGCGAACCGGCATGGTGCCAACGCTTCAATGGCGACATCGATAACAGTGGGATGGGTTCGTTGGGAAACGGACCAAAATGAAATGGAAGTGAAACATTTGCAATCGATAACAGAAAATAACAACAATTTTTTGTTTCACTACAATTTTTGTTATTTTTGTGTTATTTCATTATATCATAGTTGACGTCTATTATTTTACTTTCCCTGTAGGCTCTTTCCTAATCCTTGTATGTGTTAGTATTTACCCTTTCTTTCTTCTGTTGTCTTTGTGTAAGTACAAACTCAGCTTTGTATCTTTTCATTGACTCCTTTCTTTCTTGGTCGGAAAAGCAGTTAGCCGAAAGATAACAAACAAAACTAGCACGCGGAAAAACTGGATTCATGGTTGTGTCCAGTAAATAAAGCGATTCATTCTTTCCTGTCCCGCAGCACTACTCGTTGGATCGAGTCACTAATGGGGGTCGATTGAAGTATACAGTGCTAGTAGAATCATTCCCATTTCGGGAAATACGTAATTCCCTATAATCCTTACGCGCATTATGCAAATCAAGTGCTTGTTTAGGTTCTGTTTATACACATCAGACGTCTGGGTCGATTCGGGGTAAGGGGAAGAACTGGATAGATGGGAGGGTTTTCCAACTGGGCGCATGAGACTTTTTGGCACGATTTACTTCGCAGTAGCCCATACCGACGATCAGGGTTTGCTTTGGTGACCCTGACGGAGTCTCATGTACCTAATGAGACAAGCGGACTTGGACGTGACAGCACCTTATTGGTTGGGGGCTGCCCAGCTTAGGCGGGCAGTAGCTGTCCAATTAAATGCAAAAGCTTCCCACCACCGGGAGGATGCTTCTTGTACCTCGCTGCTTCTTCCATTTGGTGGTATTTTAAACTGGCGAATCACCTCTCCTCGTGTAATTTGCGGGAGTGACCTTTCTAGAAGCTAAAATGGTTAGGCAAACTGGGCCAGGTGTCTAATCAGCTGGTCTTGAGAAAGTGAGCTTCATCTGACCTCTATCCATTGAAATTTCAGGCATGATTGGGTCAGCAGTTGTTATAAGCCGTCCTGTGTAGCTCACACTGGCAGGAGACTGCGTCATATGGATCGCGTTAGCCTTCCTGGATGGGGACTTCGGAATCATTGTAATCAATGGTTAGAGACGCTGAGTGTCTTGAACAATGGCACAGGTGCATCTTTTTTCTTTGTAATGTTAGTCTACCGGAATTCTCCATTTTCTTTAAGACACTGAATTAAACTTTCCAGTCTCCTTACCTCTTTATCCAAATCGGCGACCAAAACCACCGTACAAAAGTGCATGGTTAATGCTTGTTCAAAGTGAAACATATGAACAGAGCGAACTTTTTCAGATATTCTACTTTTTTCTTGAGACGTGTAACAGTCGTTCGTAGTATTACAATGTACTCTGTGATTACGTTTGCAATCACAGCGAATTGCATGCTGTTTCCCGTCCTCCTTCACTGTTAAATGTAACTTGACATTCCTATCTGTTAGTTTGCAGACAAAGTGTGCTTAATAAACCGAAAAAATCTAATATAGTCATACTAGCACACTGGAACGTGTTTTCCTTATTGTCACTTTTCACACAATTGTATAACTGTGGAACCTTTTCAAGTGCTTTCATAGTAGAGCTTATATGATAGGTTTGTTCGCTGAAAACTGAACTTGACTATAACAAACGTATACTCTTTTCTGTTTTTCAGCTCAGATCTAGAATAGATAATTGAAGCCCGATCCTATCGAAAGGATGGCATCAGCAAAACAAGACAGTGCCACTTACAATATGACGTGTCTGCTGCGTGAATGGGATAGAGCTCCCAAAGAAAAGCGTCGTCAGTTCTTGCAAGATTTCATCGACCAACATTGGAATCGTTCGGGGCCCGAGTTGGAATCTGAGTTAGCCCAAATGGCCAGCTTGTTTCTTGCACGCATTTGTGTCTGGATTAAGTTGACGTGAGTTACTGAGTTTTTGCTGAGCGTTTCTGTGCTTATTCAACCCTAGCTGATCGTTTGTTGCCTTTGTCCACCGGCTTTTAACCCTTGAATAAACACATTACATTGACAACCACCCTGAGCATTTGCTCGTGATCCTGTTGTACATAAATAAATTTGAACCCTTGGGATATGTTGAACTATACACTTTTTCGATTATCAGTCATGGGAAATTATAGCCAGCATTACTTTGGATTCAATAATGATCTTTCTTTCAATAAAGAAAGTTAGATTTTTAGATAAAAATCATCTTAGCCCACCACTTTTATGTGCTGTTCCCTGTGCATACCCATTGACTCACACAAGCACTCAGGTTTGTGGAAGTGTTAGTACTTGCTTTTGGCAGACATTTAATGTTTGAGAATACATTTTTTGTCGGAAAAGTAGACAAACAGTCGAAATATCGATTAACACGGGTAACTTTTTCAACAAATAAATTAATTTCCGTCTAAATCTAAATTTTACCTACAGACAAGTGTACTTTCTACACCCCGGTGCGTTTCATTGTGTTACGGTAGCCAGATTTCCTAAGATGATGCTCCTGCTGCTACCTTCACTTTACCTCCTAGAAATGTGTACTGAAAGCTCGCTAGTTCCACCCAAGCGACAGATATTCCAGCTTCCCCCATTTGGTTTTCCTTTCCATGCTTTTTCTTGTCTTTATCACGTGCTTACCGAATCACTTATTTACCGGTCATTAGGCGTGACAATCAGGATTAGCTATGCATTTGTGCATCTCCTCGTAGGTAGTTTGCCGTCGTTTCGGTTTAGTTTGGTCCCAACCACGGTCCACGGTCTATTCTTTTTGCTAATCGATCGCACTTTACCTGACCGTGAGTTTTGTGTTTTGTTCTGGTTCACTGTTTACCGGGACGAAGTCTTATTTCAAATAATCATTATCCCAATAATATTGAATTATTCATAGCTTGGATAACCTGGTGTTGTTCCGCCCATGGACACATAGACCTATTTCTTTGTTGCAAAGAATATTGTGGGTTGATATGTTAGACACAGTCTGAACTTATATATATATATATATATATATATATATATATATATATATG